ACACTCCCTCTTTTCGTCTATTCCATTTTACCCTAGGGCAAATAGAGGCCCAGAAAACTATTCTCTAGGCCGGCCTATCTTACTTTCATAAAAATTTTCAATAGTCAATGGGTAGCACTCGTGTTCTCAACACCTAGCAGTTCGGCAGTAGTCCACCGCTATGCGAGGTGAATGCCATGTCCAGTTCTACAGAAGTGACGGCTAGGAGCTTGGGTCAAACACTTCGTATGCTTATATAATAAAAGCGAGAAAATAACAGCTCACGTTACCAGAAAATGTTATCGTAAGCACGTCAGCAGTTACTGCTCTTCAACAAAAACGAGTACGTTACTAAGTTACTGAAGAAGTCAACTGGTTACTGGTAGCACCGTTATTTGTAACGCTTTCTGCGCAACACTGTCAGCAACTTGGACTACAGACATGCACATATCATGGATCATCTTAGGTGAAAAGGTTGCACAAAAATGCAAGAAAATCATTACCTTGAGGATACTGAAACAAAAAGAAGCCCCACACTTCAAAATCACGCAGAAATTAGGAATTGGAAGAAACTATTAGCATGGCAGCTGACGGCATCATGAAGGAATGGCTAAGTAATGAGCGGCAAAGCAAAGCGCATTACAGGCTGCCAGAATGAAGTGTTTGTCTTCACCGAGCGGAGATTTAGCTTGTAGCTTGCCCCTGCTGTACTCTGCAATGAAGCTTCCCCGGTTTCTGTGACGCATTCTAATCCGTGGGGTTTCGCGATGGTGAGAAAAAGGCACTGATATGCTGCCGTGCCGGAGTGCTGCCGAGCCCACAGTGTTGTTCTATCGCTTTTGATTGCGGTCTTGTTTTGTTAGATTTATTGATGTTAGGCGGAGATGTAGAAGAGAACCCCGGTCCTCCAAAAAAAGGTGCCCCTTCCGCTGATGAACCATGTGATATAGCCGCAATTCTTAATGAACTCAAAAACGGCCAGTCAACACTGTTAAGCGAAATGAGATTCATGAAAGCCAAACTCGACGAAACCGATACCATGTTCGCGGACATTAAGGTACGTCTAACTAAAATCGAGGGAGACTGCGCGTCCCTTGTGAGCATTAAAACCCAGGTAGAGGAAATCGAGCATCTAGCCGAGATGAACGCAAAACAAATTTCTCATTTGTCGTCCCGTCTCGACGATTCCGAAGACAGGGCTCGTCGCCAAAACCTGCTGTTTTTTGGTCTAGTCGACCGTGCAGGCGAAACGTGGGCGCAGTCTGAAGAAAAGGTTATTAGTCACTGTTCAGCCGTACTAAAGATAAACATCCAACCACGAGACATCGAGCGTGCGCACAGGCTGGGCACATTTCACCCGGCTAAAAAAAGGCCGATAATTGTGAAATTCGCCTATTTCAAGGATAAGGATAAGGTTCTTAGTGCCAGCTGGAAATTTAAGGAGTCGGATGTTGCTATCTCTGCAGATTTTTTGCCTAATACACGCGTGGCCCGCAAGAAGTTGGTTGAATTTGGCAAAGCACAAGGGACCTCCTACAAGCTACGACATGATAAATTAAAGATAGGTGACGTCACTTACTTCTATGACCACAGTAGCGAAAAGGTTGTGCAGTGCGATGCGTAGCGGTTAGCAAACACAACTCCCAGTTCCGAAAACAGTATCATATCATTCATTTTTACTAACATCCGTAGCCTGATTCCCAAAAGGGACCAACTAAGCAACATCGTTACCTCAACCGACTCCAATTTTGTAATTCTTACGGAAACATGGCTAAACCCCTCTATAAGTAATGCAGACGTACAGCTCTATTTCCCAGATTTCGACGTCTTCCGATGTGATCGGGTAAACAGGCGAGGCGGTGGTGTCCTGTTGGGTGCCCATCGTAGTTTGCAGTGCTGTCGTGTTGTTATTAGTTCCCCACTCGAAATACTGTTTATTCGATGCACAGCTGCGTATTCTCCTGTCATAATTGGCGTATGCTATCGCCCCCCAGATGCCGACGCCTCCTTCGTACCCCATTTCCACGACGCGTTGCAGTTGGTCTCAACCCTACACCCCAACACGCGTATTGCAATTTTTGATGATTTTAACCTTCCGGCTATTGACTGGTGCTACCCCGCTATCACGCCGGCGCACAAAAGTGTCGAAAGCGATTTCATAAACACGTGTCTTTCGTTCGGGCTTTCGCAGTTGGTCACATCACCCACAAGAACTACAAACCACTGGAACAATCTACTTGACCTGGTTCTTGCTTCTCACCCCGATAGTTTCTCCCCACTCACCTATCTGGATGGTATCAGTGACCATGCTATCATTCATGGTACGTTTCATTGCCTACACAAACGCCCACCGGAATTATCGAAAACAATACACTTTACGATAAAGGTAAATATCTCGATATGAACGCTGAACTGAGCCACTTTTGCGATTCGTTCTTATTGGATTTCGAAACTCGCTCGGTTGAAACAAATTGGTCAATCTTTAAGTATGAAACGCAACGTTTGATTGCAAAATACATACCTACAAAAACGAACAGAGCGGATCGCATCCCCATGGTTCAGCGTTACTTTAAAACGGCTCAAAAGAAAAAGAAATAGGCAATTTAGAGCGGCAAAAACATCCACCGACCCACGCACATGGGATAAATATCGAGCAACATCGAAAAACTTCGATTTACTCCTGTCTAAATCCAAACGCACCTTCTTCTCGTCGACACTGCCAGCTCTGATTCGCACTAACCCTAAGCAGTTCTGGAGGACCATTAACCCTAAAACACGTAAACCCTACAGTTTCCTTGCTTGACTCCTCAGGAACTGCTATTCCTGACTGCAAGGTTGCCGAGTCCCTTAACTCCACATTCTGCTCAGTATTCACCCGCGAGCCAGACGACGGCCCTGTGTCCCTCTCTACTAAATTGCACTCCATCATGCCCAGCATTGCATTCCAACCACACGGCATCTCAAACGTCATTGACTCCCTGAAGCTATCTTCGGCCTCAGGCGTTGACGGCATAAATGCAAAAATTCTTAAAAACACCAAACACCTCTCTAGCATCATTCTTAGCCATATCTTCCAGCAGTCCCTCTCAACAGGTTCTGTTCCCCAAGATTGGAAAACAGGAAAAGTGGTACCTGTCCCCAAGAAAGCCTCAGATAACGCGTTTCGTCCAATCTCTCTTACATGTGTTTGCTCTAAAATAATGGAACATATCATTTACACGCACATAGCTAGCTTTCTGAAATCCGCAAAGTTCTTTCATCCCAATCAACATGGCTTCCAAAAAGGTCTCTCCTGCGACACTCAATTGGCACTCTTCCTAAGTGACATTAATTCTAAATTAGACATTAACGTCCCCGTCGATGCTATTTTCATAGATTTCGAGAAGGCCTTCGACAAAGTCTCCCACAAGCGTTTGCTATCTAAACTTTCACATTTAAACATTGACGAACATGTATTTACATGGCTTTCAAACTTTTTAACTAACCGACAGCAGTTTGTCTACGCTAACAACAGTTCTTCATCCTTATCTCCTGTGCTATCAGGTGTTCCTCAAGGGACGGTCCTCGGGCCCTTACTTTTTCTCATATACATCAACGACCTACCAGACAATATTTCTTCAAGCATTCGGTTGTTCGCGGACGACTGCGTCATTTATCGCCCCATTATCAATCCCAGTGATGACGTAGCACTTCAGCGAGACCTAAAGAAGATAGACGAATGGTGCAACAAATGGCTCATGGTGCTAAACGTTCACAAAACATCCATCATGTCATTCCACAGGCGTCACTCCTATTCCACGTACAAATATTTCTTAAGTGGCTCCGCTATATTTCCTGTCTCGTCCACTAAATATCTAGGTCTTCTTATTTCTGATGACCTTACATGGTCATCCCACATACATCGCATTACCAGTGACGCGAATCGCGCGCTGGGCTTCCTCCGACGTAACATTAACCTGGCTCCTTCCACAGTTAAATTATTGGCCTACGAAACGCTTGTTCGCCCAAAGCTGGAATTCGCGTGTGCAGTCTGGGACTTACCACAAGGTAACTCAAGTACCATCCTTGAATCCGTTCAGAACCGTGCGGCCAGATTCATCTTTTCCGATTATTCATACCACACAAGCGTAACACTTCTTAAACGTAAAGCTAAATTGCCAAGTCTCAAAACACGACGTACAGTAGCACTATTTTGCCTCTTCCACAAATTCTACAACTCGTTATCATGCGAAAGCCTCCACATAAAAACTGCTCACCACCCATCGAATCGCCTCAACCACTCAAAAGCAGTATACCCACCTCGTGCACGCACGACCGCCTATCTAAATTCATTTCCTGTTCTGACAGCCATCGAATGGAACAGCCTTCTTGAAAGTGTCGTCACCAAAACAAACCCGACTCAGTTCAAAGCTGCCGTCGAAAAACTTCTGTACTGATTATTTTTGTGTCATGTATGCGATTATCCTTAGTGGTGTTATCTGCTTCGCTGGTTGGCATTGTATGCTTTTTATGCTTCGTTGCTATGCTTCGTTGGTTGGCATTGTATGCTTTTTATTAACAGAGCGTGCTTGATACCCTTTCGTGATACGCTCGTGCAGTTTTTGTTTTCTTTTTTTGTGTTTGTTGATCAGTTGTGTAATTTTCGTGCTTCAACACCCCTCATGTAAAACCCCACTCATTGGGGTCTTTGAGGTACCTGTAAATAAATAAATAAATATAACTTCGTGGTTGCAAAGCACACACCACTACACATCATATATTTTGTCTACCAAGGTATTGTAGTGGTTACGGACCTCAACCTCGTGGGCTCGGTCACTGCTGCGGCGTTCGCATTCTGATAAAGGCAAAATTATAAAGGCCAGTCGACTCTGTGTTGCCATTGAACATTTAAAAACACCAGATGGTGGAAATTTCGGGAGCCCCCACATTGCGGCGTCCTTCATAATCATGTTATTGCTTTGGAACATTAAACATCAGATAAACATTAGATATTATTCTTAAACTTGTTCTCTCTTGGACAGGGGTCAAAATTGCACTGGACCTCATGAGGAGCGATCCCATGCGTTCTATCGGAGCGGAGCCCTGGAGCATTCCTCTTAAAGCATGTGCATTGAAGGGTCCAATCTGGAGCGATGCCTACCTGGCCTGCTTCGTGAAGCACATGGCTCACACCACGTGGCACGCCTGCTGTACTTGTCCCATGGGCAATGATAGAAGAGCCGTAGTCAACCACGAGCTCAAGTGCGTATACTTTGCTATTCAAATGAAATTGAACCTTGTAGGCCCGTATTGAACGTTGCGGACCATAATATTTCTTGTGACATAAAGGTGCGCTATTGCTACCGTATCCTCAGATTCTAAATATTCGTATTGCGCCTCTGACGCAGACACCTAAAGCAAACGCTACCACCAGGGAAAGGTGAGGGTGCCCCTAGTGCCCATGGCAGTTTCACTGCTAAAACAGTCGCACCAGTAATGGAAATCCAGTGAAGCAATCTCACTCTTCCTGCCAATGGAAGGGCATGTGAAGTGTAATTGTTGAACGGCAAGATAATGCGGCTTTCACTGCGTAGACATTGTGTTTCTTTAGACAATTCTGTTGTTTATTCACAACCGTTTCCAGTGGTAAACTGCACGTACACGCGCAAATGCTTTGCTGCAGCCCAAGTGATTGTTGCAGCAATTCAAGTAACTTTTAATTGCATTTTCATTCATGGGATCAACGGCACTTCTTTACTTTAAAACGTGGCAGTGTGTGACAATTCATGACATAAAAAATTTGAAAGCAACCACAAAAGTTATGCGTAATTTAGCAAGCTTAACATAAAAATCTAACGATGAATTCAAAATGAATCGCGCCCAGCGTGCAGAATTTTGAGCACTTGTTTGGTCACCCTCGAAGTACTGGAAACAAGAAAGTAATAAATATTGTGTGAAGGCAGGGTCATAGCCTAATCTTCTCGTTGAAAACGGCAGGTCATCTCATTTGTGCTAGCGAATCACCCAACCTGTGCGTGTGGTGGTTCGGGTCGGTCCTCCTCTTTCAAGCCTAAAAGAAGGAAATCACAATATTAAGCTTGTTTTTCTGGGCAGCCATGAAACTCGGAGATAGCCATTACGACGCTTTTGCAGATTGAATAAGTTGTTTTCTCGCATGTTTCTAGTTTAAAAAAGGAAAAAATTAGCATTACACACCGCATACAAAGACCAAACTGAATGCGCGTGTATTTAGGAATGCTTGCCGGTTTTCCCGAAGAAATTCAGCTTCGGCGCACCTTGACTCATATAATCATCTTTTCTTTAGTATTGTGCATTCTGTTATTCAACATACATCTTTAGCGCCTGCAACTGATGCTATTTACTCTAAGTAGGGTGTTGAACTTTGAGAGTGTTGAACCAGTGCAACACGCGCAAATTTTCTGTATTGCAAGCTATTTGTCCTTGGCAAGCCATTAGATTGAGCAGCAAGCCACTTCTTAATTGCATTTAATGCCTGCAACTATATATTTATTACCCATGATGTACTATGTACTTTGTAAGTCCCCCCTCCTCCTTCATATCTTAATAGCACTGAACATACTGTAATTTACAAAAACGAAACTGCTGTAACTCATGCTGCAGCAATATCGCATGATGGCTTCGACGAATGGCCGATAGATGCTGCACACGTATTGTCTTTGCTTAATATGAGCATCCAAAAAAGGTATTTTTGTATCTTTATTGCTGTATCTGTATTCCGGACTACTTTTCGCGCTTTTTTTCAAGGTATCTTCGAAATATCCTGCGATGTTAAGGGGACATAAATCTCAGACATAGGTTTGCGAAACATCGCAAGACATATTCCGTAATACAGGTGCAGCAATTCATAGACAAGAGTACTCTTTTTTTTAGAGATGCGGACATTCGCGAAAGTCATATGGGCAGCATCCGTCAGCCATTCGTCGATGCCTCGATTTCATAATGATGGAATATTATATACTGCGTTTATCTTTTTGTATACTACAGTACTCTAAGTGCCTTTAAGACATAACGCAGGTAGGGGTACTCACAAATTACAACACGGGTAAAAAGTATATACTTGCAATCATCAGCTGCATTTAAGAAGTGGCTTTCTGCTCAATTTAGTGGCTTAACACGAAATAATGCATTTCAGTATCGGTATTTCAGGCTTCCAACAGATGTACTTCGTTACCTGCACTACGGAATACTTTAAGTATCTCTGCCCAGCTCTTAACAAGTATACTGTAGCAATATTTTGAGATAACATTAACAAGATTTTTGTGCTTCCGTCGGTGTCGTGCTCTGTCGCATGGGTGCTATGGCGATTACCATACTTGAAGACCGAGTTGTTTTATGGACGAACGGCTCACTATTCCGGACTGCCAGCAGAGTTTTCTTGTTCTTGACGTCTACTGAAGGCCTTGAAAAACACTCCAGTTCGTTTTATGCCATGCTGTTTCGGACCATTTTTTTCTTTATAGAATGAATAAATGCCTAATATCTTCATTTCATTTGCATATGATTTCAAGTATACTATTCTGGAGCAATCAGAAGACATGACACTGTAGCGGTAAACTCAAAAAGAAACACTCGGAGGCAAAAAGTAGGAACGTTGACCTCTATGTTTGACTGTTGTTATAGAACATCATGTCCTACAGCAAGTGCGAACTCGCCCTAGAATACTTTCGTAAGATCCTACATACTTTGAGGATGTAAACATGACCGGAAAGCAAGTAAGACAAAATCAACATAGTTTGGAGAAAATCATTTTGGTTATTTTGGTCTCGATTGTTCAGACAGTACTGGTGTAATGGTTGTGACTGGCTTTCAGTGAAACAGTGGGAGTATATGGCTCATTCATTTGTAATTAGAAACTGTCTTTTTGAGTTCCCGTTACAGTCAGAAATTACACCATTTCAATTCCAACTGGTTTAGAAGTTAAAGATACTTAGGTGTGCTTCAGGATCTTCCGGTTTCTGGATTTGGCTTTTGTGAGGCAAACAAAAACGCTGAATCTCGTCTCAGCATGACATACCAAAGCTTTTGATGGTCTACTGGGCTGCCTGAAGACCATACTTTGTCGCCGGCAGTGCATCGCCGAGGATTTATCGTTTTGCATCTCTCTATATGCTAAACATCGCAGGCAATGCTCGAGTGTTCTGCTACAGCAGGCGTTAGCGTGGCTTATATTACTTGCTATCGAGCTAAAGCTTGCGTGTTTAATTGAATGGCATTTTGTTTCACGCCTCAATCACTCACAGTTCCAATCATTCTTCATCTGTTTTCAGGGTTTGGGGTGTGCAGAAGTTGCGAGTTGTGGACGCATCTGTCATGCCCACAATAGTGACGGGAAATCTCAACGTGCCTACTTTGATGATTGCCCAGAAAGCAGCTGCCATGATTCGAGATGCTGATCCATAGTTTACAATAATGAACTACTGAACACAAGCTATGTTATGTTTCTATTTTCATCGTTCGGGCATCATTGACAAGACGAAATAAATGAACTTCTGAACAGTGACCAAGCTGGCATCTCTATTGGTTAGAAGTCATTTTAGTTTTTATTGTGGTCATACTGTGCAAACTATTACGTATGATGCTTTTATGCGCTCATTTTAGAATGGGACTTACTCTCCTGAGCTTCAGACATTATATGTTGCCGTCAGAAGGTCAGTCGCGTGACAGATACTGCGCTTTCATCTGATAACAATGCTCATGGTCAGCGCTTCGTCGCCGCTGATGCCTGTTTCATTCCTACAGGTTATGGGCACATTCCGACTCTGACATCAAATAAGATCAGTACGGAGGATGTTTTTCCTAGCACATTGCGGACGCTACATCTATGGTGGGCTTACCATTGCTCCTAGTATGGTACCCTTTCAAGAGGGCACAGGTTTAGTTACGGCAGTTAGCCCTACTTCTTTGCCTGTTTGGTGCCGCAGGGCACCAGGGCCCCAGTGCGATTTGCTTCACAAATACTGAACCACTTTCTCTGGTGCCCCTTCACGTATACTCGCCATCATTTTCCGCGAGTACTCATAACCATACTACAACGGCTGCTTTAACAGACGCAATAAATCTCAATGTCACGTCACAACGAAAACGGCTGCTTTAACAGCCGCAATAAATCTCAATGTCACGTCAGCGCATAAACAAGAACTTTTAAGTATATTTCAAGGAATCGGCGCTTATTTGATGTAAATTCCAAGCTGCTGGTTGCACTTCCGTCGCCTTGCATTGAATCGAAACAGAAGGCAATACAATTGTACAATTGTACGCTGCCGCCCATATAGAGTGTCTTCTGTAGAGCGGAAAGTCATCGAGGACAGCGTTGGTAGTATGCTCACACGAGATGTCATCCGGCCTTCATTCAGCTCTTGGTAATCATCTGTAGTGCTAGTCTGAAAGAATTATGGTCAAGTGCGATTCTGCGCCCATTCTTGAGCACTTAATAAAATTTCGCGCAAAGACGTGTACCCGATTCTACGAATTGATGACGGACTTGACTCTCTGCAAGGCACTTAATTTTCCTTCAGCCTCGACCTATGTGCTGGTTATTTGCAAATACCTATGGACAAAGCGGACAAGGAAAAGACTGCCTTTACACATTATAGACGAGCTGTAGTATATCAACGTCACGCCTTTCGGTTTGTGTAATGCTACTGCCACGTTCGAACGCATGATCACCACAGTTCTACGTAGCCTTAACAGGAAACCATGTCTCTGTTGTCTAGATGACATTGCCATTTTCTCCTTTTTTTTCGTACGCATCTTGATTGTTTGGACAAAGCTTTGCGTGTATTTCCAACGCTGGACGTCAGCTAAACACAAAGAAATGCAATTTCGCCAACAAGAATAGCACGGTGTAGGGCCACCTTGTCATCAAAGACGGCGTTCGGCCGGATCCTGAAAGCTCATTCACACCGAAGGCGGCGCGGCAAGGTGGCGGAGCGGGATTTCCGAAGCGGCGAGTGCGTGAACCTGTTCAGACCGCATGCCTCCTTCGTCTGGCCGCGCGGCAGAAAAGGCGGGCATCTCGCCATTTTGCGCAAGTGTCCCTATGACGTGCGAGTGCTTCTCCCAAACGTACACCCGCTCCACCACCGCGCCTCCGCTGCGTGGCGTTCTGATTGGCTGCGGCAAAGCGGCGAGCATTGACAGGTGGCAGAAAATCGCTCCAAGATCGATCGGCCTAGCCGCCTGGTTTTTCTGCTGCTTTTGCCGTCTAAAAAGGAGGTTTTTCCCGCTTTCCGCGTTGCCACCTCGCTGCTTTGGCGGCCCCGCCTTCGGTTTGAACGAGCCTTGACAAAATTGCTGCCGTTATATGCTTTCCTCGGGTAGAAAATTGGAAACACCTACGAAGTTTCCTGAGCGTGGCGTCCTACTTCCACCACTTCATCAGTCATTTTGCTGCTATCGCGTCACCACTGCACAAGCTGCTGACATCAGGATCTTTTGTCGCTTGGAACGACGACTACGAGCGTGTTTTCAAGCCCTCAAGCATGCTTTAACATCCGACTCTGTTTTAAGTCACTTCGACGGAAACACACCTACATGTTTGCTCACCGACGCGAGTGGCCGTGGCAATGGTGCAGTTCTACAACGGGATGCCAATGCCACTTCACGAGAGAGAGTTATTGCGTATGCTAGTCATAACCTCACGGCTGCTGAACAAAACTACTCGATAAGCTAAGCAGGAATGCCTCGCTGTCGTTTGGTCTATTGGCTGCGAGATTGAGCAGGGTCACCAACTGGCGGCAACTGCCCTGAAATGGTGAAGTGTGAATTGCTTCTTGCGCCGTCTGCTAGCTACATTGTGTTTTTATGTGCGCGTATGTCATGCTCGTTCTCAGTCTGGTTTGTCCGGTCATGTCAGCGCGAGTGTAACTGTTTCTACGTATGCCTGAAGCGACGTACGAAAGCATTTGGTATTGCTCGGCTGCTAATAAATTGTATAGGATCAGCGAGTGCCCCGCAGGGGCGCCTGCACAAGTAGGCGTTTGGTGTGTAGCGACACCACTGACCCGAGCTAACGGGGGAGTTTCTACTCCCTCCCACGCCTAGCCGTGCGTGGCTTTGCCGTGTCCGGGGAAAAGGGGATCCTGGGGGTTGAGCCGACGCTGGGTGATTGGACCATTAAGGCCCCCCGGCAGAGGCAACACACCCCTTTGGCCCCGGCTTCACGTAGACGGCACCCCTGGGCTGACCCACCCAGGGGAAATTGGCAGTCGCCTTTTCCTATCTCTCTCTCCCTACATCTTCGTCTTTCTTACTTTTTTAGCTTTCCTGTCTTCTACTCTCTTCCGTATACTTCCAAGCTTCCTGGCGGCTAGGGTTAACCCTGTGCAAATAGCCTACCTTGGTCTAGGCGCATTAGGTTATAGTGGCGTTGTATGGCTGGCGTCTGCAGGTTTCAGCATCCGCAAACTTGTAGCGTCCCCTCGTTGGGCTCCGTGGTGGGTGGCCGCCAACGCTGCTGAACAAAAATAAGACAGGCATGCACAGAGCATTCTCCTTATTGTCTGATCGTACCGGCTTAAAGCGGGTACGCACCAAAGATATTAAGTTTTTTAACCAGCCCAAAGAAACATATCCCTCACTATCATGTTATCCACTGAGAAAAAACTGAAAAGCAAGCCAGAACCGTCTCTCCTTTCCTGGTTTCTAGATGTCTTACCGAAACTCTTGGCACAGGATACAAAGTAACCAAAATGGATAGTGGAGACCTTCTTCTTGAAATCCGTGACAAAGAACAATTTGAAAAGCTAGACCGTATTTCAGATTTCGGTGGCATACCAATAACCATAACACCACATAGATCAATGAACACAACTCGCGGAGTGGTATCTGACATGGACTTACTTGACTTGACTGAAACTGAGCTTTTGGAGGGGTGGCAGAGCCAAAATGTCACTAATGTACAGAGAATCATCATTAGAAGAGATAATAAGGAAACACCGACGAAACACTTAATACTCACATTTGCATCCAGTAAACTACCGAAATCTATTCAAACAGGGTACACAAAGACATCTATCAGGCCGTACATACCGAACCCTCGTCAGTTGCTTCCAATGCCAGAGGTATGGCCATGGCTCTAAAACCTGCCGTGGTCGCCAGACTTGTGCACAATGTGGAGTCCTAGGCCACGTGTCTGAGAACTGCAAACAACCACCACACTGTGTAAATTGCGAAGGAAACCATGCCGCATATTCACGCTCCTGCACATACTGGAAAAAAGAAAAAGAAATAATTACGTTGAAGGTGAAGGAGAACATTACACTTAAAGAAGCACGGCGAAGAGTCGCTCCATTCTATGGACCTTCATACGCTGATGCGGCGCGTCAGGGGGCACCGCCGCACCAGCCCTCGCCACTCCTTCGGCCCGCGCATACCGAGCCGGTGGTTGTGGCACCTGCCCCCAAGGCGGCTGTAGCCCAGGCTACACCGCCTACTCCCAAACAGAGACCGGATGCTGCAGAGTCCTCGGGTCTCAAGGCCTCACCTCACCAGGCGAGGCCCGAAACTCGAACTAACAGTCCGCACGTGCGGGCATCCAGTGCCTCCGAGGAGGCAATGGATACGTCGGCAGTGCCGAAAGAGCGGCGTGGCTCCCTGGAGCGCGCCAAGAAAACAAAAAAGCAGATAACAGGGCCTGGCGATGGCCCTGTTAAGTGAACTCAAACTCCCTGTCTAAACAGCCACTTGCTTTTCGTACACACAGCACTATTTCATATTCACCATGAACACTCAAATTATACAATGGAACGTCAGGGGCCTTCTCAGAAACCTTGACGACATCCAAGAACTCTTACATGAACACTCACCAAAAGTGCTGTGTGTACAAGAAACACACCTTAATTTAAAACACACAAATTTTCTTCGTAAATACGTGATTTTCCGAAAAGACCGTGTTGATGCCATGACATCATCCGGAGGTGTTGCCATCATAGTGAATCAAGGAATAGCATGCACACACTTACAACTCCAAACATCCCTAGAGGCAGTGGCTGTTCGAGCGGTTCTTTTTGATAAACTGATCACAATCTGCACTATTTACATTCCTCCTAGCTATCAGCTGCAAAAACGCGATTTACACTCACTAATTGATGAACTTCCGGAGCCTTATGTTCTCCTTGGAGACTTTAATGCGCATAGCAGGCTATGGGGTGACTCTCGGTATGACGCGCGAGGTCGACTGATCGAACAGTTCCTTATCTCGTCGAGCGTGTGTCTCCTAAATAGAAAAGAACCAACCTATTATAACCTCGCTAATAACACCTACTCCTCCATAGACCTGAGCATAGTATCTCCATCTCTTGTGCCTCTACTCCAGTGGAAAGTCGTCAGTAATCTGTACGGAAGTGACCACTTCCCCGTAGTTTTGAGCACAATGACAGTAACTGAGTGTCCACCACGTGTTCCCAAAGGCTCATGAACAGAGCCGACTGGGAACAGTTTTATACTATCGCTTGTCTAGGTTGGAATGACATCTGTACTTTGAACATTGATGTTGCTGTG